ATCCTGGGGGCCTCGTGGGGCTTCCTGGCCACCTCTTGGGGCCCTCTTGGGGAACCCTTGGGAGCCTTGGGGGCCATCTTTGGGCCACCTCGGAGGAGATCGATGAAAGAAGGGGGGTGTACGGATTACAGTCGCCCTCCCAGAAGGCCAAAATGGGGCCAAAACCCTAGTAAAATCAATGATGTTGGCTTCCTCGCCGAGGCCGAGTTGGACGCCCTGACACCTCGCGAAACCCCTTGTCCAGGTCCAGGGGAGGGGGGAGGGGGAGGGGTAAACCCCTCCCCGAAGAGGAAGGAGGGGTGGAAGAGGAAACTTTCTAAACCACCGACGCCCAGAGGGCTGGTGGGACTCGCTAGAGCACCTTAGCTCAAAGGGCTGGTGGGACTTCTCGCCCTTGCGAAGCGAATTCGTTATAGAATATTCCGAGAGCTATACGGGTGGGGCACAGGTGGTATTCATAATGTGGTTATCGCGTTAGTGCCGCGCACCTTCGTCTTAAAAGTTGGCAAGAGTTACACGGATAGAGCACAGGTCGGTGTCAAAGTGCGGTTATCGCCTTAGCGCCGCGCACATTCGTTTCACAAATTTTCAGCAGGGGGACAAAAACGCGGATGAGTCACATTCCGTGTTCAAAATGTAGATTGAAGGATTGCAGCAGTTACACGGACGGAGCACAGGTCGTGTTCAGCATGTGGTGTTCGCCGTTGCGCCGCGCACATTGGTTGTAAAAGCTTGCAGCCATGTGCACGGATGGAGGGCAGTCCCGTCGTGTAGTATGGTTGTCGTTTCGGCCTTGCTTACATGTGTGCCAAAAACTTGCAGCAGGTACATGGAACATGCATGGCGGGCGGTTCTTGTTTCAAGCGCGGCTCTCGCATTAGCGCCGCCCACATGTGTCCCAGAAGCTTGAGGCAAATACGCGGATGGGACAGCGGCTCTTCTGCGAAACATGGTGTTCGCCTTTGCGTCGCGCACACGGTTTGAAAAGCTTACAGCAGTTGTGGGGAGCGGGAACGGCTCCTTCTCCAAAGGGGGCTCTCGCTGATGACTTCCTCACACCCAGAAGACCAGACAATGGACTCTCGCCCAGACGGCAGGCCAATGTGGAGCTCGTCTTTCAAGGACACGCTTCTTGTAGTGAAATGGAAGCCCATGTGCATGTTTGATGAAAGAACTTGGGACGCAAGGGTGTGTCGCCGCAGAATTGATGAATGTTATTCTCCCTCTTCCTCTTCCGTTTCCTCCTCTTCCTCTTCCTCTTCGTTATCGTCCTCCTTTTCCTCTTCCTACACCTCCCCCTTCGTCGTCGTCTTCCGCATGCTCTTCTTCTTCCTCCTCCTCCTCCTCCTCCTCCTCCTCCTCCTCCTCTTCCTCCTCCTCCTCCTCCTCCTCCTCCTCCATCTCTCTTTTTATTCTCCTCCCCAGAACTCCGACTTCGCGTTTTTCTTTCAACGTGGACTGCCGAATATCTGCACCCCTTTCCATAGACTGGATTTGCATCCCAAGGCGTTTTCTGACGATCCCAGGGTCCAGTGAGGGCCCCCATGAAGCCTAGAATGGATCAACCTTTTCCGTCGCAATTTCTTCTCAACAGGAGGTGGGAGCCCTCCCCTGAGATCCGACGCTGCGAACAAATCACAGCATTGCGAGAAATCGCGACCAGAGCACCAGGCCCCATCTTTCTGCCGCACTGTTCGAGCTGGATCGATCTATGATGGTCTTGAGCCCGAAACTGGACGAAAACGCCCAGCGTGAAGAAAGCGCAACGCCCAGATCTCAGGGAGGAGCCACAACTCCTCAGGTATGACGCGAGCGCACCCAGTTTGCCTTCCTTACCCTCCCTTCCGTCCCCCTCTCCTCCCTCGCTTGCTTACTCTCCTACCCCAGGTCCCCTCCGCGTCGTCATCCCTCTCTCCCTCCCGCTCCCCTCCTTCCCCTGCTTGCTTCCTTTCCTCTCCCCTTACAGCCCCGAAGAAGCCAGCAAATGCACCTCCAGTCCACAGTTGTGGCTCGTGTGCCCTGGGAGATGCCGTCTCCCCAGACGTTTTGGGCATCTTGGCTTTTCTCGAAACAAGGGCCTCTGACCTCTCGACCCCTTCTTTGGGATCGTTGCTTCATCCCGGGTCGCTCTTTGACGGCCCCGAGGCCCCCGAGGGGCCGAGAATGGCAGCAACAACAACAACAAAAAGCGCAGTTTTTTGTTACGATTAGACCATGTCTGGGCAATTTCCCAAAGGCAAGCTTTTCATCATGAGTCGTTTTTTGATGGTCCTGGGGCTCGTTGAGGGCCCCCGTAGGGAAATAACCAAAAGATTGTCACCCCATCTATTATGTGAGTTTCCGTTCTCTGGGGGCCCTCCTCCCCGCAGGAGCCGCCAACGCCGCCCGCCACGGCGCTGGAGGCCGCGCGCTGCCGAGAGCCTACTGTCCCCCCTCCCGCTGACGCTCCTCCTCGCTGCCCCTCCTCGCTGCCCCTCCTCGGTCCTCCTTCCTGCTCCACCTCCTCCCTTCCCTCGTTCCTGCTCCCCCATCCTCGCTTCCAGACCCCCGACGCCGTGCTGTTTTCACGACGTCGACCCCCAGAGGTCAGGACCCCTTCCCTGGCACCGGCTCTTCATCCTGAGTCGTTTTTGTTGACGGCCCCAGGACCTGGCAATGGCCCACGGAGGCCGAAAAATGGCGACAAGCCGCCCGTCGCGATTTCTTGACACCGCGAGGGGGCGGAGGAGGAGGAGGAGGAAGAGGAGGAGGAGAAGGAGGAGGAGGAGGCAGAGGAGGAGGAGGCGGAGGAGGAGGAGGAGGCGGAGAAGGAGGAGGCGGAGGAGAAGAAGGAGGAGGAGGACGACGAGGAGGAAGAGGAGGAGGAGGACGAGGAGGAGGAGGAGGAGGAGGAGGAGGAAGAGGAGGAGGAGGAGGAGGGGGCCTGGGCCGCTCGCCCGGATCTCAGGGCCCTCCTCTCCGCAGGAGCCGCACGCGCCACCCGCCGCGGCGCGTGCCGCGCGGGCCGCCTCCCCGGGCGCCCCACGGGCCGAGCAGCCCGAGGCCACGCGGACGCGGCCTGCCCGGCCACGGGGGGGTCCCTGAAGGGCGCGGAGCCCTCATCTCGGCGGCACCGTAGCGGGTACTCACCTTCGTAAGAGTCCTCCTCCCCCCTCCTCTCCTTTACCTTCCTCCTATCCTTCCTCTCCTCCTCCTCCTCCCTTCCTCATCATCCTCATCCTCATCATCCTCCTCCTCCTCTCCCTCCTCCTCCTCTCCTCCTCTCTCACGCCTCCTCCTCCGCCTTCCTCCCTCCTCCTCCTCCTCCTCCTCCTCCTCCTCCTCCTCCTCCTCCTCCTCCTCCCTCCGTAGCCATTTTGGCTCAAGGCCAAAATTGTTTTCTTCCCACTGCCTGTCTGGGGTAGGCTCCCACTGCTCTAGCGATCTTCATATCCGCAGCCACACTCACGGGCGAGCTGCCGCCCAGTCCATATCCCTCTCGTGCGCCTTTCGCAATGGGCACCTCAGGACGCAGCTCAGCGATGGCCGCCACCCGCGGCGCGGCCGCTGTTGCGGACGGAGGTGTTGTTGCCGCTAACGACGGCAGCTACAGACCGCGTGGACGCACATATGGCTTGCGAGGAGCACACGGGCGTGTGCATGTTCAGCACCAGTACCAGCACACCATCTGCAAGCTGTGCAGCTACAGATGGACGTGGAAGGGGAAGACCGACTGCTTCAACTGCGGCAAGGCCTTGGTCCCATCACCAGCGGAGCTTCGTCAACCGACAGAAGCTTGGGCAGGCAATGGCAAGCCACCGCCGTGGAAGGACACACAGCCGCCCGCCGTCCCCAGCAAGGACGCCATCTTCGAGGCGCCCAAGTCCCTCCTCAACTACGCGAAGCACGCCGAAATCGTCGGCAACATTAAGGACGCCCCCCAGCAGCCAGAGAAGCAGCCTCCAGCCCGCTCAGCCGAGCAGGCACTCCAGTCGGCGTTTTCCGTCCTCACCGACAAGGAGAAGAAATTCCAGCAGGCGGTCGACGACGTCGAAGAGGCTAAGCAGTGGCACGACGACGCCATGGCCAGGCAGGAGCAAGCCGCACTCGAGCTCGTCCAAGCTAAGACGCCTACGCCAAGGCTCAGGCAGAGCTCAGCGCCAAACTCGCTGGAGTCGCTGCACTAGGGGCCACCGCCATGGGCCCCCAGGACACCAGATCGACAGCACGATGTGGGACGACCTCAGCGTCTACGACGACGCCACCAAGAGCCACATGGAGAAGTGGAAGGCTGAGCTCGACCAGCGAGTCCAAGCCCTCAACGATGGACAGGAACACGTCCGAGAGCTTCCACGACAAGCCAGGGAGTCGAGCACAAACCCCGCCAAGCGCAAGAAGGCGAACACGGAGGCGACCGACCCTCAGCCAGCTCCCATTAACGCCTCACCTGAAATGGCACAAGACAGTCACCAGCCTCCTGCCGAGCATGGAGGACAAGCTACCGTCGGCCAGTCCCCAGCATCGCCCGCTACACCTGCTGCGCTTCAACAGCCTGGTGCACCAGATGCTCCTGTCGACGCCGAACCCCCCGAAGAAGATCGAAGGTCTGCCGCCAACCTCATCTCGACCGCCGAGAGGGCCAAGCAGATGGTCCAAGCCACCAAGGGGAAGGGAAAAGCACGAGCCCCGCCCGCACCAGCGGCGGCAGCACCCCCACCGCCTCCGGGGCAATGACAAAACGGAGCTGAACGCCCAGATCCGATTCGGCAACATCACGGGCGGGGGCCACAGGCCGCCAACTTCTGCTGCACCATCGGGCGCAAGTACCAGCTCATCGCCCTGGCCGAGACCCGCGCGGACGCGAACGGTGTCCACGACCAGATTGGGAAGCTCGCCATGGGCGGCTGGAAGCCGGCCGCTACGCCAGCGCCCCCGACTTACAAATCCGACAAGGGAACCCACGGCGGCGAGTGGATTCTCACCCGACGTGGCATCGCAGCCACAACCTTCTAGGGGCACAGGGAGCAGTACCTCGAGCGACACAACACGCAGCCGCTCGCGAGCTTCACGCCGACGATCCTCCACACCAAGAGCGGCAACGTCGTGGCCGCATCGGCCCACCTTCGACCTGGGCTCCGCGATCGAGGCGCCAACAGGAACAGCCTGGTCTCCATCACGACATTCGTGGACATGCTCACCGACCCGCGGATCACCCGCGCCGACTGGAACTACGAAGCGAACTGGCGGGATGACAAGCCGTGGCCCACCAGATGGAACGGCGCCGCCCTCAGCGACCCAGAGCGCAAGGCCACGTGCGACAAGGGCCAGGGCTCCGCGCACGACCATGCGACCGCGCGCGCGGACTCCGCCACGCACCTGGGCGCCCAGGCGGTCCACGACGTGCCCTGGAAGACCCACTGCGGCATCCAGATCACGGCGGGCGACGCCGAGTCGCGGGCGCGCCAAGCCTTCAAGGTTCCCAAGGCCCTCCCCGCCCGAGCCAGACCTATGAAGGTCGCTGACCCAGAAAGTAAAGGTCCAAGGCTCGGGCGGAGGCGTCGAGGACCAGGAGGGAAAGGCCGCCAGAGCACCTGCGCGACGAGTTCGGCGCCCTCTACTGCAACAGCGCGGACGCGCCCAAGGAAGACCCCACGCCGTTCATCATCCCAGAAGCCGACTGGGACAGGGCAGCCGACGAGGCGTGGAACTACTCGAGGTTCGAGGGCAACCGCGCCGGCACCAAGGAGGGCAGGGCCCACATCTTCCACCACCACAACCAGAATGCTGCAGCGCAGATCAACTCAGCTTACTCCCAGTGGGTCGCGACCATGGAGACAGCCCTCCTGGGGGCACGCCGCGCCCCTGCCGGCGAAAGGGCCAGGTAACAGGGCAGAGCTGAGGGCGACAGGACCACCGGGCGGGCAATGCAGGCATCGCATGGGAGAGCGCATCTCAAGCACCCCGAGGCTGCGTGGCGGCAACACTTCAGCACGCTCATCCCGAGGTACGCAGAACTGGCCAAGAATGCGAAAGACCCCAAGGCACGCCAGCATATCCATAGGACCATCCTCAGCAAGCTCGACGACCTGGGCAATCCAGAGGCCCAGAAGAACCACTTCGGCATCAAGACGGATCCGAAGGAGATCGACGAGTGGAAGGCCCCGATCTCCACCCTCGAGTTCTGCGACGAGAACGACCTCTAATACTTCTGCGCCACCACCGCTGCGAGGACGCACAAGGCCATGGCCAGCGGGCAAAGCTCGGGGGAGATGCCTTGGGCGGGCGAAGCTTGCTTGGAAGGACCCCCCCCGGCAAGCCCCATCGCACCGCCACGGGCCCCAAGACACAGCGCCTGGAGGACAAGATGGGTCGCACTACCGTCGGCGACCCATACCTGGTCATGAACGAGGTTGCGGGCACGCGGCGCGACATCTCGAAGTCGGATCGCCGCAACGAGAAGCAGATCACCGACGCTTACGAGCGGGCCATCCAGCTCGCGAAAAAAGACCCCCGCCCGATCATCGAGCCGCAGCGCGCCCAGGCCGCCGCCGGCGTCGCCAACCCCAAGAAGTCGAGGGGGGTCGACAACATCGGCCCCATCGACATCCAGAGACCCCCAAAAAAAGGGCACCCAGGAGCTCGCCAACATTTACAACGCGGTGGAGCAGAACGGCCTGTGGCTGCAGCAGCTATGCGCCACGGTTGGAGCGATGGCTCCCAAGCCCGCTGGCGGGGAACGGATCTTGGACATGCTTCCTATGATCCCCAAGACTTGGGCCAAGGCACGGTCCACCATCACGGACGAGTGGCCCAAGGAGTTGGCGGAGTTCTGGGACGCCCCCATCAAGGGCTCCAGCGCGCTCGGGGCCGCGCTGGTCAGGGCCCTCCTCGACGAGACGGCAGCGGCGTTTGGCATAGCCGTCGCCGCGATCCTCATGGACGTCGAGAAGTTCTACGACTCGGTCCCCTACGCGCTCCTCTTCGACGCCGCCATCAGGGCCAAGTTCCCACCGATCGTCGCGGCGCTGGAGGCGCAGCTCTACGTGGCCCCCAGGTACCTGCGCATGCACGGCTGGGTGGGCGACATCATCGGCCCGCAGCGGCCCATCGACGCGGGCAGCTGCAACGGCGGCAAGCTGGCGAAGGTCTACCACGAGCGGATCCTCCAGAGGGCCCACCAAAACTACACCTACGCGGGCTCAAGGACCTTTGCAGACGACACGGCGGTCAGGACGGAGGGGCAGACGAAGCAGGCCATCGGCGACCTCATTGGCGTGGCGACGGACCTCTGCACTGGCATGGCGGAAGCGGGCCCCCGAGTTTATCCCAAGACGACGGTCGCCGCTTCTTGTCAGTCGATCGCCCTTGCGGCCCGCGTCGGCCTCAAGAAGAAGGGCTACTCCACCAAAGTGGCCAACACTTCCGTCGACCTCGGCATCGGCGTGGGCGGCGCCAAGAGGAGAATCGCATCCAAGGCAGTCAAGCGGGCGCCGCACTGACCGCATCATCATGAAGGTCAGGAAGCGCGCCTCCATCGCCAAGATCGCGAAAGGTCTGTGGACAACGGGGTCGAGGCCCCAGGGCGCGCACGGCCACCCGATCATGGGCCTGTCCCCAGCGGCCATCCTCGAGCAGCGGCGACAGGCCATCCAGGCCTCCGCTGGGAAAGTCCCAGGACGGTGCCTATCCACCGCGCTGGCCGCAGTTCTGGGACAGAAGGACCCCGTCATCGAGCTGAGGCGCCGGTCGATCACGGAGTGGCTCCACTTCTGGCTCAACAACCCAGAACACCACCTGCGGGTCACGCAGGCGTGGGGGCACCTCTACGGCAAGACGATCAGCCGCGGCAACAAGAAGTGGAGGAAGGTGCTGGGGCCCATCTCCGCCATTCGGCCATCCTCACAGATGCGGGGTGGACGTGCCCTACGCCACACGAATGGTCTCGGCCACCATGCGAAGGAAAGACCAAAATACAAAAATAACTCCTACCACACAGCAACCAACCAAATGGGGGGAAAAACAACAAACAAAAAACAAAACAATAAAACTCTACGGAATTCGTCCACGAGTTCTGCCTCTCCAGCGAGAATGGCCCCCGGAATGACTCAGCCAAACATCCACACGGAGAAGGACTACAACGCGCGGAGGCCCAGACGTCCACAGCATCACGCACGAGATGGAGAAGTTCACCAAGAAGGGCCAACACGACCAGCGGGCCCTCAACCTCTGCGTGGTCGCGGGGGCGCAATGGCCCAGCGAGCGCCTCGTGAAGACGGGGTACCAGGCACGCAAGACATGCCCGCGACGCGGGGCCTCCGGCGAGACGCTCACGCACAGGATCTGGCTGCGCCCGAGCAACCGCGACCACGAGGACTGCACCGATTCTGACGCCCTCCTTCCATCAGCCACTGCTGGGGCTGAGGCTTTTCCAGCCCACTGGCTCCGCGGCCTGCCTGCGCGCGCCAACACGCATCCTGTCATCTCGTCGTTGGGGAGGGGGCGGCGGGTGGAGCTGGGTTGGGCGGGACTGAGAGGACTGTGCCAATTGCGATTGAACTTTCACCCTCTTCGGCGACAGGCCGGGCGGCAAGTTCAGCGACGACCTCCGTCGCCGAAGTGCGGGGGTCGCCTGCATCGCCATGAAGAGCCTATTCGGGGAGTGGGTCCCCTGGGGAGGGATTCTCTCGGGCCTAGAGGGCCCCTTTCCAGACGGTGTCGCGAGCCGGGCTCTCGGCTCTGGCGCTCGCTCTGGAAAGCTGGCCCGGCAATCTCTGCTTTATAACTGACCACATGCCGCCCCATGGCGGGCGGGGTCGCCGTGGGCGCTACCCTTGATGTTGGTGTCGATGCTCGTGTGGATGAGGCCGTCTGCGATGCCGTGGGCGAGCCCGTTGAGGATTCTTCAGTCCTGTTCCGTGGTACACGAAAGCGACGTGGTGCTCGATTCCGTCGCGGTGATCATCGAGCTAGTTCTCAAACCCGTAACTTGAGATGGCCAAGTTATGTTCCAGGCCGACGTGGTGACACAGTGGTAGCGCACGACTTGAAAATGCTGGGCCTGTACGTGGTGCTCGACACCGTCGTGGTGGACAACGTGGTACCGCAATGGTGGTTTTCCTCCTCCTCTTCCTCCTCCTCCTCCTGTTCTCTGTTTCTCCTTTGCGCCTTCCTGCTCGTCCTCCCCGTCTCCGCCCAGGTCCCACCGATACGACATGGGGCGAATTCGAATCGCTCCGCGTTCGCACGAGAACAGTTGGCTTATCTTTCATGCCCCGGGCGTATCGTCTTATTAGAATAGACGCTTCAATGGTTTCACATGTTCGCGCTGACGTGGGACAAATGTCTGGGCACTTCTTGTCACGGGTAGCGCTTACCTGTCCTGGCCGCATGGCCGATATAGTTTCGCAGATGTTTGCGCGCGTTTGGCATGTGTTGGGGTGCGTTGCGACGGGGTGAAATACCAGTATTACTCATAAATACTAGTAGCCGATGGTCATTACTCATCATCATCATCATCATCATCATCAGCAGCATCATCATCATCAACAACAGCAGCAGCATCAGCATCAGCATCATCATCAGCAGCATCATCATCAGCAGCATCAGCAGCATCATCAGCAGCATCAGCATCATCATCAGCAGCAGCAGCAACATCAGCAACATCAGCATCAGCATCATCAGCAGCATCAGCAGTAATGGAGGATGACGGTTAATAAATGATTGGGGGTTGTGTTCACGCGGCGGCGCCCGGGATGACGATTAGAAAAAGCTGGCCGCGGGCTGGAAAACTATGTTTTTAAATCGTGCTTTTCCAGTCAGAAAATTATGCAGAAACAGCAGAAGACTATGTTTTAACCGTTCTCTCCCATTTGTTTTATGAATCGTCATCCCGCATGATGGTTCGCAGCATTCGTATTGTTGCTCGCTGTATGAACCGTAGATTCTCCTTTCTAAAAGACTAATAGATTCTACCCCCCCCCGGGACTTATCGGTTACCCCGCGCGTGCTGTAAATTACATACGATTCTGACCACATGTCCATCCTAAATATGAATTCGTACCATCCCAGCCAAGCCGGGTTCCCCCCCCCCCGCGGGTCCCTTGTAAAAAAACACTATGCGGGGACATTTTTTTTCTAACATAACACTTTTTCACGAATCCCTTGCAAAAAAGGGACGAAGTGCACGCGCGCGCGTCGTGGCGCGCGCATGCCGAAATCCTTCAAAAACCTTCGGTTCTGGAGAGATTTCAAAATTCAATTTCCAAAAAACACATAAAAACACATGGTTTCGCAACACTGGTTTGCTAAAAAAAACTTACGCGCGAGCTCTTGCGAAATCTTAAGAAAACCATAGGTTTCCCAAGATTTTCACAAAATGCTACCAAACGGGCTTCGCGCGCGCGCATGCCGAAATCTGTCGAACGCCCTTGCGCGCGTGCCGTCGCGAGAATCCTCTGCAAAAAATGGGACGAAATGCAGACGCGCGCGTCGTCGCGGGCGTATGCCGAAATCCTTCAAAAACCGTTGGTTTCGGAAGGATTTCGAAATCGTGCGTCCAAAAAACCTACAAAAACACAAGGTTTCGCAACACGGGTTTTCAACAAAATTGTGCGCGCGCGCGCTCTTGCGTCGTCGTCGTCGTCCTCCCTCCTCCCTCGTCGTCGTCGTCGTCGTCGCCGTCGTCGTCTTCTGTCTTTCCTCGTCGTCGTTGTCGTCGTCTTGGCGTCGTCGTCGTTTCCGTCGTCGTTGTCGCCGTGGTCGTCCTTCCTCCCTCGTTGTCTTCGTCGGCGTCTCGTCGTTGTCCCTCCTATTTCGTCGCCGTCGTCGTCGTCGTCGTCGTCGTGGTCTTCACTCCTCCCTCGTCGTTATCCTCCTCCCTCGTCGTCGTCGTCCGTCGTCGGCGTCTCGTCGTCGTCCTCCTATTTCGTCGCCGTCGTCGTCGTCTTCGTCGTCGTTGTCATCGTCGTCGTCTTCCCTCCTCCCTCGTCGTTGTCGTCGTCGGCGTCGCCGTCCTTCCTCCTTCTTCGTCGTTGGCGTCGTCGCCGTCTTCCCTCCTCCATCGTCGTTGTCGTCGTTGTCGCCGTCGTCGTTTTTTCTCCTCCCTCGTCGTCGTCTCCGTTGGCGACGTCGTCGTCGTCTTCGTCGTCGTCGTCGGCGTCGTTGTCGTCGTCGTCGGTGTCGTCGTCGTCGTCGTTGTCGTCGT